ATACAAACATAGGGAATAATCATGGAGCTGCATAGGGGGCGCCTGAATACGAAAAACAACATGACGCCGCTGTATACGTACGGGTCCTGTGGGAATAGGTAACGCAGAAGGACATACTAGACTGGTAGATCAGAACGGATGTGCCTGCTTTCTGAAGCATCTTTGCAGCACACAGTAATCGCCCCATCGTCCCAGTCGTGTCATCTACTTAAATGCTGTATTTGTATGGCAATTTTTTTGTTTTCGACATGCTAAACATAGTGAAATTTTTTCCGAGAAACTCATGGAGCCCAAACTACTTCTGTTATGCGAAAAATGCTTCTGAGAAAAGCGAGACAAAGATCTTCTCGTCGTTATCCCTGTATTGGTCCTGAAATATTAATGTTGAATGTCAAACATCAATCACTGTGGTAGCATGCTTATCAGTTTTTTCGCACCCTCTATAATTTGAATTCCGTTCAAACTTTGTTCGTATCGGATGCAGTATCACACTTCTCCAGGATAGATTGCTTTAGATTTTATTAAGCCTATTTAGTCATCTGGTAATTAAACGACTTGATTATTTTTTTTTGATAATTTGTAGGCCAAATTAAATAAAGCAATTAAGTGTTATTAATGTACGAAATTTAAACGGGATAACTAGAATTATAAGGAGAATGATCTTTGACCAGACCATTAAACCGAACTCATTTGGTGGATATTGTGCGACAACGGGTTTAACAGCGTGATAAAAGCGTTCTATGGAACAGCTTTGTAGAGGTTTAAATTTTTAAAGCCGCATCTTTCATTAGTTATTTGTAAAGTATTTAATGCGGCCCATGTGTCGTAGAGAACGTAATACATCTAGTTCGTAAGGGAGTCTCTTCTATAGCGAAACGGAGCGAGGCGAGATTATTCGGTAGGACAGACCTGGTTAATACAACTGTTTCAATCTTATGGCACAGGGCCTTAAGAGTTTAACGCGATAATGACACTCTGCAGACGACCGGCAGGTCTTATATCATTTTTCTTCTGCTTCAGCCCAGCGTCTAGAAACGTACTACCGTGGGGGGTATAAGGCAGCCTAACATTTTCGCGATAATTAGCGTACACATTTAATTTAGATGGCTGAGGCCATTGTATGATAATTCAAATATGATATCGTGTAATTTTATCATTACTAAATGTCGCTTTACAGACAACTCACCACTCATGATTTTTATAAGTTTTCAGACATAAAACTCAGTTGGACAAATATAGTGGCCACCAATCAGGATAGAAGCGCTTATCCTATTTCTATTAAGGAAATCTTATTTTAGTTTTTCTATAACGGTGTAACTTAATTTTAAAGTAATCGCTATATTGTCAGACTCAGGAATGCTATCGGTGCTAGAATAATACCCTAGGAAGGACCCAATACTTGGCATTAGAGTAGCAGGTGAACATCGCTCCAACCCAAAAGCTTTTGTACGTACAACAAAATGGTATAATCGATTTTTCTACTACGTTCGAACCCTACGATGCACCATCCGGGTTTTTTGTTTAAGGCACCTAATTATTTCATAACATTTACTTGCCATTGATGATAGATATTCAGCAACACGATTTGTATATAAATATGGATATAAATTAATAACAATAGAATGCGTTCATTCACAGGCAGCCTGAATAACAATATTTCGAAGTTCAATACATGCCTCGTTCAGGATCATAAAGGTGGGTCTCTGTATATAATTTGTGATGGAAGCCAAAAATGGCAAAAACGATGATGTTATTACAGTTTTTCTGGTTTTACTTTTGACATACTTCCGTATTGACAGATTCGCTCTTTATTTCAGTGGAGTTTTGCCTGCACCTTCTGAGGCACCAATAAAAGGCGTCGGCGGCTGGAAGTCCAAAACGAGATTTCAGATCGTCAATGGGTGGCGGGGTTTCGGCAAGAAAATTATCTGTCTGATTTTTTGCAGTTCTGTTTTTTTTCTGGGAAACCCCTCTAGTTTCATATTCCATATTAACCGCTACGGGCCTCACTTCCAAATGAGATGAGTGGAACGCTATAGCGAAGGATAAATGGTTTAAGGTTCTACTCGGTCACGACGCAGTCAGGGCTTTTTTTATATTTTTGTGTAATGTAATAATTAAAATTATAAATGTAATGTAATAATTTAAAATAGCCATCCATTGCGATGCTGCTTCCAAAACTCGACAATCCTAGTAGCCAGGTTGACCGTTAATTCCTATTTAGTTACCGCCATGTGAAATCTAGCCAGGGCCTGCTATACCTAAAATCTGCTAGAACGGCTAATGACTACGTCTTCAATGTAGAAGATTAGTGTAGACTCAGTCATCAGCGTAAATTTCGACTAGGTTTTTTTGGCCTTAAAATCTAACAAGAAAGTTCTTAACTAGAATTAGGTAATTGAAGAAAAGTGAGATTGTCACCTCCGACCAGGCCCGTTGCCTGGCACAAGGGAGGTGGCTCTTCCGCCCCATCATCTTTGCTTACCTTGTTCTGCTGTAAGACAGCAGCCGACAAGATGAGCCATTCTATGATATCTATATCAAAAACTCTATATTGCTTTTTGCAAAAGAAACAAATGCTCAAGGTTTAAGAAAGGTTTTTCCTCATCTTGAATAGCCCCCTTATTGGGATGAGCGTTTTATTTTAATAAAAGTAAGTAAGAAAAGTAAACTAAACTTTGAAATAACTACATAACTATCCTCTATAAAAGACTCGCTTTCTCCTTCGACACTGCAATGTTTTGTCTAAGTTTTACTGTGCCATTAATATGACCCAAAGGTGAATGGAGTGGAAATCAAAATGAGTAAACAACGAGGTCGTGGACGCCGCTACAGTCGTCTCGTCCACGAACAGAAACGAACCCTCGAGCAATTAGGCCCAAGACACAGCATATTAAATTCTACTTGCTGTTGGTTCTGTATATTCCTTATAGGGGCGCTGATTCTCGGAATAATCTATCATGTAACGAATATAAAGTACTTTAAAACGAAAGAAAAGACTGCTAAGCTTGGAGGTGGGTTTTGAGGTGTTTTATAGTGTATGTATGTAATTCCCAAACAGGGCATGAAAAAAGGACAAGTCGAAAATTATGGGGGAAGCGGACCTCCACGTTTATAATATTTATTGGACGAGCTTTGAATTTTGACTTCTAACCACTCATATGCTTCAATGGCCTGTAGCAAATGTTAGACTGGTTTTGATCAATACTCAAATATTTAAGCAAGAACCAGAAACACTAAATACACCTAAGCCAGATGTAATCAATTCTCTAGTAGCTCGTTTCAAACCCAGAAAGTTAAGTGCCCTATGTCAAAATGCAATAATGGTAAGATCGAAGCATATCAACCCAAACCAATGTAGATGTTGATATTTCCACTAGTATAGTTAATTGACTGTTCCTGTCTGGTTATTAATAAAAATAACGTTTTGTTCAACAGTGAGCTTATCTGCGTTACGTCAACCCACTCAGGAAAACCGTTCACATTCAGTTTGTGACACCCAGGTTTGTCACCACATTGCCGTAGCTTTAAATCAGACACTCAACAGGGATGTCAATCCATGTGAAGATTTCTACGGGTTTGTTTGCGACGGCTGGAGAAAACGTCACCCGCCTGACGAGAACAACATTAAGATCAGCCCATTTTCTATGCTGGCATCCAAAATTGCCACTGTAATGAAACGAGCATTTTACGGTTCAGGCGAAAATTGGAGCAAGCAAAATCTCCAACAAATTCTGACAAGTAGTAACTCAAATTCGTCGCTCGGGCCTTCGGCTCAGGTTGCTGTGTTTCATCATGTTTGTCAGTCAAGCATGAAGGATAGCGAAGAAATAAAGTCAAGAAGGTATCTTCGTCGATTGCTTGGTCAAGTAGGCCTTACAACGCTGCTTAGCACGGACGAGGTGAGCAAGTACGACGACGAGTTCCTTCCCACTTCGGCAATAGAAACTATGGTTGCCTTATCTTTAACATGGGGCATTCCTTCCTTGTTAATGGTTTATCCGATGGCTGATCCAACAGCTACCTATCAAAATATCCTTGTGATCAGCTGTTCTGATCGGCAGGATAAGAACAGCTTGCGACAAGCAAAACCTTTTATTGCTGAAACTTTTGATAGTCATTCTGAGCCAATTGCCCGAGCTATTCCTGATTTCACTGCAAAACTGCTGCAAAATTCGCGTCGGGAAGTGAGTAAGATGGCTCGACTGGTCAAAATAGTTGGGGAAATGCTAAGCATTGTGATTGAAGACGGACGTCCACGTGAAGAGATTAATGCAATCGCCGAAGAAATCGTGATGGCGTCTCTTATCCTAGACGATGCACGGAATGAAACCAATTCGCTACTTGAAAAACTTTCAAACACACCGAAACGGGTTAAATTTAGGGATATTCATTATATGACTGGAAATGATCCTGTCAACCTACTAGCTACAATTAACAAATATGTTTCCGAACATAATCACCTAACGCTCACCGATTACGATGATGTGATCGTTGATTCGCCGCGATCTTTAGCACTACTTTTTACACTCCTGAGAAATAAGAAAACAGAGAGCATTATCAAAAATTACATTGCGTACTCAGTTATTGGCATTTTGGCGCCATTTGTCGGCCGTGATGCTCGGCGACGCAGTACCGCATTGGCCGAGGTTCTGGGAAGCACAGCGCCAAGGTACTACATTGATCGATGGTGTGACATGCAAGCACAGGAGTTCCTCCCTCTTTCCTACGGTTCCGTTTTCGTACGAGAAATGGTCGACATTGACATTAAAGCACATGCGCAACTGGTTGTAGACTACGTAAAAGTCGCGTTTGTTGAGGTAATTTTTTTTTAATCTTTCCACCTATTATCTGATTTCACATAGCATAAGTGAGAATTCTTTTATCCCCCATGTGTTACCCCCATTACCGTAGATTCCTAGCTTCCGTTCAATTCACTAATCAACCGTTAGATAAGGTACATAGCTATTTACGTTGATTGCTAGCTATGGTGCTGCTGATGATGGGCCTCATCCATCTTAGGACAAGATCTTTTTTTCGCGGCCTAGCTAGAGTATTCTATTCCTTTGCCGTCTCTTGCATCATTTGTCCCTCTCACTGACGTAGGCGATGCGCGAGAATGCCTGGATGGACCGATCAACGCAACTTCGAGCCATGGCGAAATTAAGTGCAATGACAGCGCACGTTGGTTTCCCCGACTGGTTTGAGGATAAAATGGAACAGTTTGTCGAGGCGCCTGACCTAAGGCCCGGAAATTTATTTATTGAGGCGGTCCTTGACATTAAACAACACAAGGTTACGATAGCGTTGCGTGACTTTCGTAAGCTTAATGTGCGGGACGTCAACTCGTGGAACTTTAGCCCAGCTTCATTGAACGCTTTTTATGAACATGCTCGCAACTCAATTACAATTCCTGCGGCCGTTCTGTTGTTTCCATTTTTTACTAAAGGAGCGCCTGCCGCATTTAATTATGGATCACTGGGATCAATCGTTGGACACGAGGTAGGCAAGTTCATTTTGCCTTGCACCTCTATCATAATAAGCCTATTCAGTACGAATGTCAAATGTTTAAGTAGATAAGCGACTTGCAAACATCAATTTAGTTCCATGTAATCGCTGATATAATACATAACTACACAGCAATCATGCCGGCTAGTTGGAACCTGAGTATATTCGTTTGTGGCACAGACAGATTTAGTTCTTTCAAAATGCATATATAACACTTATATTAACTATTCCTGACACGCTTACAGATTAGCCATGGATTTGATACAATCGGAAGTAATTTTGACGAACAAGGCAACTTCATTGGATGGTGGAGTGGACGAACGAAGAAGAAATTTGATGAACGTAATTTCTGCTTCGTTAAGCAATATGAAGAACTGCAGAATGAGATTCTAGGGGGTGTACACGAAAGCGGGATCCAAAAGCAACAATCCGTAAATTCCAAACAATCCAGGGGACAACGGACGTTGCCTGAAAACCTTGCGGATAATGCCGGACTTCGACAGGCGTTCCGTGCTTATAAATACTATACACGGGATCAACCCGTCGATGTTGTGCTTCCCGGGCTTGAGTTTACATCCGATCAACTCTTCTTTATAGGTAATTCTCAAACTACATAGATGTCATAGGTATAAGATGCACCAATGCAGAAGTCGATGAAAGGGGCAACTGAAAGCGTGCTCGCTTTTCGATATAGCATGTATCAGACATTTCTATTACGTTGTGTTTCCGGGTTATTGAAAGCATTCGACAGACAACATGCGAGCGTCATAGGGATCGCATGTTAGATTGACAAATTGTCGCTATAGATGTTATCATTTCAAGTTTGACTTTAAACTGTTTTTTTTGCAAGAGCTGAAACTTCTCGGCACCGAGTGATCTGCTAAATCCCATTGTGCGACCCCTTTATTCAAGAGCAAAGACAGTGGCTTAAAGTGGTTAGCGTGATGCTTACTACTCTGGCAGGCCGGATTCTATGTCGCGAGTTGAAAAAAAAAATCGGAAATTGGGTTCCTCACACCCAGGTAATTAAATTATGTCAAATGAGCATCACAGATGGCAAAGCAAACTTATTGTGAAAACGATAAATCTATAGGTGCTTCTATAGCGTTTCACTGTTTCTCACAAATTCCCCCGAATGTCATGCGGACTGCACGTCCGCACGTGTTTGAGTTCACGCTTGGCGGCACCTTCAACTATCCATTAGCGCTATTTACATAACTGATGATTTATATCTCCTACATGAATTTTCCATTTTCGTTTATGCCACAGGAAATGCATACAAATGGTGTGCAAACATTGAAGCACGCACTGGAGAACTAATGTCATTGAAAGATGCACACGCAACGGAACGTCTGCGCTGTAATGCCGCCACTATGAACATTGCGACATTTCAGGAGACTTTTTCTTGTCCTGCAGGCTCAACTATGGCTCCTGATAAAAGATGCGTCACTTGGTAGTACGTTAGACGGAATACAAGTGTAGCATGTGTATGCAGGCGCCGATACGATTCCAGATACGAATAGTGCCCATAAAGACAACCGCGTATCGAGGGCCTTTATTCGAGACACTAACGGGAATATACTATGTAAGCTCATTCTTGATCCGGCTCAGTCAGATTTCTCCAAGGTTTGTTATTAATTGCCTCGAATCATATTAGCAGCGGACTTTCCATGTCATCATCAGGATATAGCTCAAGAATTAACGTCCCGCATTATTACCATATTTCAACAAATAAAATTAATTAGAAGGAGTAATATGGAGAATTTTCAATTAGTCATTACCGAAAACGTCGATGTGTCAAGTCGCAAATCATTAGGATCACAGTTTGTGACAAACAGATGGAACAAGAACGACCGCCACTGCCCACATTTCATACAGATCATATTAAGTCACAATCTAAGCTGGTGGAATCTGAATGTAGCTCGTTCTGCTACGAGCATTTAATGTATTTGAACAAATACGTTACCAAAAACAATTTCTTAACAGTTCGATAAATAGCACAAATCATTTTTTTCGAATAGAAGTTACCATACCAAATAAGGCGACGTTCAGAAGTAACGTATGATCTCTGGATTAGTGTTGGTACTAGCTTTTGAGGTCGGCATGGATATGCGAGCAGTTTTTGCTAGCAGGTTATTTGGACCGACTATCCATTTAAAAAACCGTTTCAAAGTTTAAGTTAGGAACCCACATGACAATTGCGACAGGCCCGCATGTACTCAGTATGGGAAGTAGAAGAGCTTTTCCAACATCCGAAAAGTTAACAATTTGTATATCATCGTAGTGTGCGCCGTCAATAAAAATGGTTTTTATGATAATCATGCTCCTAATATACATACTGTTTGTTGCTTCCCAATTCTAAAAATCGAATGCTGGTTTTCGCAACAGTCTGGAGATGAATTGCCAAAATTGTCATAAATTGTTTATATTGTACTTTATGTACAACGTAATCAACTATTTACCTTTAACGTTCGCTTTAAATATGCGTGTGTAGAGTATCCGTTTCGAGAGTCCGTTGTTTGAACGCAGGTTCCCTGAGATTTTGGCTCTGCCAAAAGACTTGTCCATCACGTAGCTTAAATGTAAAAGCTGTAACGTGCATTGAAAAATAGATCTGATTTTCGTCTGCTTAAAAATAATAGCTGCCGTTTACTGTTATCGTGTTTCACAACCAACTGCAGAGTAATAGCAAAATGTACTATTAACTATAGTGACCGAAGTCTGCCACTAGACGTTCGATGAATAAGCTTTCCATTACGTGAACCCTACCATCACATACTAATATATTTATATAATATATAATATTAACGTTTATTAATTTACTATTTTTATTATATATATATATATATATATATATATATATATATATATAAATTATATGATTAACCGTTTCTCTAAGAAAATGTATCACATGTGCGAGGAAATATTAAAAATACTTTGTTATCTGTATTTATAGATCGTAGCACACGTCTATAATTTTTAGTTTTTATTTGAAATAGATAGTAATAAAAAAAAGGTTAAATGTTCCTTACAGCAAGTTAGGATGAAATTATAGTTAGAAAGAAAGTGTCTATGTTTTAATTGGTCTTCGTTGTATACATAAGCACGATCATTCTCTTTTTGTCCATCTCGAATTCAATGGCTGGCCCAATCGATTACTTGCTATCCGCAGCATGATTATGACCGTTATTTGCTTCGATGTATTAAATATATATCACGCATGATAATAGCGATTATTATATAATATCATCAAGTAGATATTATAGCGCATTACGCCGTCGATGTACATAGATCCTGGGCAATAATCTTCGACACCGTGGCTAACATGGCTTCGTCGTCGGCATGCCTATTAGGGTAAATCAAATCTACTCGCAGTAGCCAAACGTAATTTTTCTCCTTACAAAACACCGACGTTTATGCTAACGAGTATATGAAGAAGATTGAACATAAAAATTGTCCGACTGTTGCCACTGTCATCAACGGGTCGCCGGTTTCTTTGAGCATGCTACGGCACTCCGAACCTTTAGCTATTGCGGAAAAATAGAGGGGATATCCCATGCAAACAATCAAAAGACGAATAATCTCTTAATTAACATTATCACTCTCATGGCTTACCCAATTCTTGTGTGCATATCAGAAATAACAAGGCTGTCGATATAATACGGCAAAAATAACATCGATATGCCAAGCTGAATTTTCCCAGGAGAAACAGTTCTTATTTTCGCCAGATAAATGTTGCTGAAAGGAAACGATCAAGCGCCCCTGAACTTTCTTTCTCAACTCTGCAACTTCGCACAACCATAAGGCAAAGGGAAAGCACAAGACAGTAGATAACTGCTAATAACAGTGGCTCAGATTCAACTGTCGAGTGAAGTCTTCCGTGTTAACATTGAACAGTACAAGACTGAGTCGAGATTTAATTAACGTGCGTCAAAAGATGTTTAAAAATGATTATTGACCTTTTTAAACACAAACAATAAAGGCTGCTAATTAAATTGGCACTAATTATCATTGAGAAGCAGCTTGTAAAAAGGAAGCAGGCACGAAAAAAATAAAAGTAACAATAAAAACAGCGCCCGTTTAGTGCACGCACAAGGACTCTTAAAGCAGCTCTCTATGGGAGAAATAATGGGGCGACTAATCAGGGCTCTAGTGGTTTTACAACTCTTATACGCTACAAAATAGAAGTTTCTAGCAAAAATGAAGCAGAACACATCTGAAACCTTTCATAGATGGTAACATATTTTCTACTATTGATATAGAGTCTGCGATTCTCCGCCACTTCATTTGCTAGTCTAACCAGCAAGGTGGACGTCGGTCTCACGTTTTCAACAGTAATGTCAGTTATACATGAAGAAAAAACGTCCTTTACTCACACAGGTGTGCAGCCTGTAAAGTAGTGATACATTTACTACATTTCCAACGAACAATAGGCAAGTTACCTGACACTAGTCGTCGTAATTTAAAGCCTGCGAGAGAAGACGCCCCTATTAAAAAATTTTTAACTCAGCTTCAAACGCATGGAGCAATGGGAGCATGGGAGTACGTGAGGGCGCCCAGGTTCAAAACAAATCAGGCGAATAGACAGCAGTCGCTACTTTGGTTGTACTGTCTTCTGGAAATTACAACTAAAAAAGAGGATACGGATCTAAGTCTTGAGGTTCACGTTGACATCCATTTTATAAACGACACACATTTTTGATCGGTTGGGTGATATCTCTGTATAACGGACTATTAAATATTTCTTAAGATGTCTAAACTCTGCTTAATTTTGTCAGATAACACACATGTCAAAAGCTATACCGCCGACTAACACAACCCCTTCAAATACGTTCGTATCAAACTGCTTCCGAGTCAACGCTGATACTTCAGCTTTCCTAAAGTGATATTTAACCCTCTCACATATGTTTCTTTATTTCTCTCTTAAGTGGCTTAATTAACTTAATTTAGCGGCATTAGTCTCCAAATTATAATATTCACTGCTTCGTTTAAGCAATCGCTAAATTTCACTCTGGTCTCGCCATTCTTGCGCGCCTTGTATACTACTATGTGGAAAGGGCACGTTTGAGTTCGTTTCAGATTATTTTGGCAAGCGGAAAAAACGAGTCGACACTGATATAAAAAAAATTGCTTTTTCGCACTTATTATGAGAATGATATAGTTAGATGTGAGAATACCACATCTAACTATAGGGGATATTCTTTGGGAATTTTACAGCGCATGTATTAGTTTATTCACTACATTATTTACAGATATCTAATTTATCTATAGATAATGTAGTTAAGTGTTCTTTGGATATAAATCATAGAATGACACAATTCTCTTCTGTAAACAATGCTATGCGTAATTCCATTGACTCTTTTGTTTGGCTGCGAGAAGCATGTTGTTACACAAATCCGATTACGACGGTTTAACTTCGCTATACATTTATGTAATAATACTTAAGATTTGATGCGATACGCAGGACCTCGAGGCTGAGAGTCAGCCTCGGATCGAAGACCTTGGACTTGGCTGTTTCAACTATAACTCTCGCTGTTTCGAACGAATATTTCAATTCAGTTAACGTATTCTACACTAATATACTAAATGATAACCAATGAAGTCGTATTTCAACAACACATTATGATACACAAACAGGTTCAAGTAATAATGATAGTCTGATAGATGAACGAAGAGTAACAATGCAAAGCGAAGCTAGTTATCTTGCAAGAAATAAATCATCACTTTCTCATTGAACTATGCAAGGATTGAGTTCTTTTTTTAAAGAAGTTGAATAACAAATCTATATCTAATTCGTGGTTGAAAATTAGAACTTTCTCTGAGCGGCCGTTTTCAAACGTGAGGCGGATATATTCTGCCCAAGAACGTATTGGGTAATCCACCAGAGAGCTCCTGCTTTATTTAAGAAGTACTTGTCCATATTAGAACGATCGAAGGGCTGCTGGAAAGAAGCGCGGCTTGTGCCATCAGTGTTACATACACGATGTTTAATTCGAATTATTCTGATAGAAAAAATAAGCGCGGAACGCGAAAGATAACTCAAATAGTACCAAATCAAATTTCATTTATTCATCTTTGCTGGTTGTGATTACGCACTTCATTTACGTGGGTTAACAACACAATGTCGTAAAATCAGCGTTAATATAGAATCGTTAAAACACATCATGTAAATTATACGAGGTTAGTTTGATCTATGAAAGTTTAATTTAAATAATTGATAAGATGTCCCAACGATGGTACCAGAAAGCTACAAGTTCCATGATATCTATCGCAATATTCCCTCATCATAAAACATATCGTTATACAGTACCTTTCACCGGTCAGCTACTATACCCTGCACTTACACTATAATGCAATACAATAAAAACGAAAAGAACGTGCCTCTTATTCGAGCAGCAGGATGTTGAAGAGCAGGCACCAGGATCTAGGATTCGCCATTCAGGAACAAGTAGATTTTGGTGTACCACATGTCTTTTGAGCGTGATCTGGTTAGGTCAGCAGCATTAAAAGATAGCCTAGTAGCAAAAATATAACTGAATGGGATGACTTAATTGGTAGCGCGCTCTGTTTACTGTTTACAACCTAATGCTGAAGTTTAATTCGTGTTGAAGACCAAAGGGATTTTTCACATGTGGAACTTATTTTGCTTCGTATTTTGCTTAAGACAGTGCTGGCACTGCCCATAACCGTATGCAAAAGCAGACCGATTCTTGTCCTCGAAATACCACCAGCGCGGTCGCGGCGGTGGCGGCCGTAACTGCTGCAACAAAAGCACGTTTAGCACGCCTCTTCTGTCGTAAGGAGTACAAAGGTGACGGATCACCTCCACATTTCACTGATGCAACAAACTGGAAACAATCGATAAATAGAAGCATGGCATATAATAGCTCACATCGGGGTTAACACTCCGCAAGTAAGTCTGTTCTTCAAGATTTCGGCGGGAGACTGGAAGGTTATGTGATACGTGCCCTTCTAGAAAATTTCCGTTCTACGAAAACCTAAATAGCCCAAACACTATCGCACTTATTCTAGTCTGCAGGTGTTTTCAAGATATCTTCATCGTTTTAATGACACAAAGCAGTAGTTGGAGATCGAAGAACCGTTTTAATACGTGTAACAATCACCTGCATACCAGATACCACGACGAATCCGGATAACGAAAAAATGCCAGGAGAATGCACTCCCACCTTACGCGTACTTAATATGCCAATCGCAATAACTAACCGACCGTTCTAGATCCGATATTAGATACACATTTTTATACTTAATATTACTGTTATTGCAAATGTCGCACTAGAAAGCCGATAAGGAAAAACTGAAACCACTAACCCAAGGCACAATAAATAAAACATGTTGTTCTTTTACTCGACCTGATGCTTGAAATTTGCCATCATTGCGTACGAATTTATTATGCTTCAGTAAATGATAAAAGGAAATTTTCACAATTGTGTTCTACTGTGGCCAACGGCATATTACGGCCAATGGGCATCCTTAGCGTCGGCCTCCGAAACCCGGCAATTCTGGAATGTTGATGTTGTCCATGTTGGGAAAAGGCAAGGAACTGATATTCGCGTTGCCTCCTGGACGCGGAAAGCTCGGTAGGTTTGTAAAGTTATTAAAGTTGCTTATGCCGGGAATGTTACTTCCGAGATTGGTCATCTGCCCAAAGATTTCGTCCATCTGGGCCAACGTGAGGCCGTAACACAGAAAAAGAGCAACAACAAGAATCGATGACATGAAACGCTGCATCCTGAAGAGTAAAATAGAAATCTCCAACTTGAGTGCAGGACGAAATGTAAGCAACTGATACTTTTTAGCCTTTTATGATTCATTTATATACCAAAATGTCACCCGCATCTCAGTTCTAATAGCCGACGCATTTGTTTGTTCTAATATGTATATTTCTGCCAACATGAGAGACATGGCTTGATTAGTTTTTATTATAGATATGGGTTTAGGATAGATACCATAGGAAACTGGCAGGTTTAAACATGCAGCTAGGCACACTGAAAATTCGCAACGGAATTGTTTCTAAAATATGGCTATATTATATGGTGGTCGAGATTATTGATTTATCATAAAACCTATTTCATTTGATTAGTTTGCTAATAAGGAGAATAGGCAAGGAAAGTCTAGGGTAAGCTGTGAGGGCCACAAAAAGTTGGCCTACAAACAACCGCATAATTGGGACTTTTTAAACCCTTTAGTCTTTTTTACTAACGACTATAAGCATGTAAACTAACTAAAAGTTAGAGCTTTAACATTGATCATTTTTAGAATACTCGTATGACGTGAGATTTCTTCTGACGTCCGGTAAGAAGAGGCATAATTATCCTCAACAAACTATTAACTACATCACGCAGGGCAGCTCTATTTAAATATGAAGACATCAGTTACGACTATTGATTGTGCCCAATAACTAATAGCGCTTGGTGTTATGCAGCAACTGACAGTAGCAACAGCACCCCTCGAAATGCATCGTGCCACTTAAATACAGATAGCTTTTTACTGCACATGTTTCCTGTCAGAAATCTAAATATGTCAATGGTAGGTTCAAGGATGCTTATGAACTGGATCGATGACCAGCTTTCTACGGCAAGGTACCGTAAATAAAACAACAAGGTATGTGCTGTTTCGAACAACGCATAATTTATTTAGCATGAAAATAAGTACCGCACACCTATCGCTTTAAATATGTATAACTATTATATATTCAATCTCTTCCATCTAGTTCTGCATATCCGTTATTTTCTCTGTAGTCTTTTAAAGATTCTAAATTACTGATAGATATATATATATATATATATATCAGTAATTTATAGGGAGGGGGAGAGAGAGAGAGAGAGTGGGACACCTAAATCCGGACAGCTTTTGGCGGGCTGCTTATCGTAGCGGGCTTGGGTTTGTAAGCCAAAACAGCGAGCATATGATAGTGAATAGTACGTTAAAGCTTAAGCCACATCGGCTGTTATCCAATGTGTTCATGTGAAACCAAGTACCACCACCATTTTTTGTTCGAAATTGCTCATTTATGATATTGCCAATTTTCATGCAGGTTTTGAAAAATCCGCTAGTTGGAAGATTCCCCGCCAACAAACTGGGAAATCTTGCATACAGCTTAAATTTTAAAGGTTTAAAGGATTCCGCCAAATGATTCTAAAAGGCATTTTTGATGCACTTGGATCTTTTGTAGAGATATTAGCGATCGTCCTGAGAAGCAAATATCAGTTGGCATTTAGGTCATCCAAATAAATTTCAACGGTTTATTTAAGGCTTTCTGCATTTTTTTCGTTCGTTCGTTTCGTTTTGGCCGTTTTAAGCCCTTTTATCTTCGGGTTTTGGCCTGCTATTATCTCAAAATTTTATTGCGCCCGAATTGCTTGCATATTGTATGTTTGAACGACACTAACGAGTTTACACCTACCAATATCGCCTGACGTAAGTTAAATTGTTAAAAGTCATTTGCGGATTGAATACTTTGGTAGTTATTAGTGAGTGGCTTAGGTCTTATATTGAAAATGTAATTGCATTGTAATTTTAAACAGAATCGTATTGAATAATCATGACCACCAGTAATGATATTTCTAGCATCTGCAGAAAAATTTCGTTTAAGTAGTTTTTGTTTAGATACAGTTTTAAAAGTAACTCATAAAGAAAAGTTTGGATTTATGGGCCCTGCTTTGTATATATATATATATATATATATATATATATATATATATATATATATATATATATAATTGTTGATCTCGGTTACAATTTGCGATTACACCGGTTTGTCACACATTCTTAATACTCATTGTTTATAATTCTCGTAGTCACGTTTATCATTAGTCACTATCTATCTTTTGGTATATTAAAATACTGTATGTATTCATCATTACTGTGTTTCTAAAAAATTGCTTCGTTCTACTCACAGAAATCTATTTACTCTATTTTCATTAAATTATTATTTGTTACGTATCATTTTAACACCTATCGCTATATGCATGACTTTTTTTCTTCGCGTTAATAATATTCAACTGTTCTAATTCCGCTCTTACACCTGTAGATTAACATTTGTAAGCTTTTTGGGTCATATCGAACTATGTTTATCACTATTTTGTGGACACTTTTCTGAATGTATACTAGTAATCGCAAAATGTAAATTAAATTACTCAGTCTCGCTGGATTAGGTTTGAAATGACAAATATGTTACCATTTCCAAGAGTTGATTTCATGTTCTTGTCTAAGACTCTAGTAGACCCTAAAAAGGACAATTGAAAAATTAAGAGTGAATCTGCATTGCGAACGATCCTCAAAATTCGAGGAAGGTGATTGTGGTATTAGTAAGTGAAGGCGATTTCCAAGAATAGTGCCTCGTCTATCCCATCCACTGAAAAAAATAAGCTCAATATCAATAATCGCCTATTCTTACTTTGTGCTGTGCTTTTAAACAGTGTAAGCCTTTTTTACTTACTTCCTACGTTACCCGCAGTCTGTCTTTTTAATTCTGTGTCCATTATGTGTTGGCCTTATCCGCTTGTGTAACGCGGCAGTTGAAGTTCGTTCACCCATGACGTCTATTTACAGGCGGAAAGGCAGCTCTTGTGCTTTTGTTGTTCGTTGTGATTATCAAAGGCTTATTGAGAATAGCATACACTGAACTATTTCTTTGACAAGTTCCAGTGGTTTTATTGCATATTAGTATGAATTTTGTCAGGTGCTTGTTTGTGCTTTGAGAACTGTCAAGAAAAGCTTGCTCCCAAGCATTAATTTTTGTGTTCGCATCAATTTTTTGATATGGATATCCTACGCTGGTAGACTTAGACCGCTTTTAACTTTTCGTACCAAAAGTATCTTTAGTAAATTGCGTCAAACGCACGAGTATCCAAAAAGAGATAATCGAAGTCAACAAAGATCATTACAAACCATGTCGTTGACTCGGGGTGAGTTATTAACACCGTTGAAGTATTAACATAAATGTCACTTATTAACATCGTTGACTAAAATCTACGAGTATCAAAAAAAGTTACTTTCAAACACTATGTTCCTGTGACAGTGTGCTATCACGTGAAAGTCTTTTTGTTAGATGCTAATGTGCTTGTTTCGCTTCTAGAAATGTTGCCCCAAATCGTTTTCCCCAGTGATAAAATCAGCATGATTGTACAGTCCACACATTTCTGTTACTAGCTGTGTAAATGGCGAAATATTGTCTCCCTTAATATAAGGTAGAGATTTTTAAAACGCTTGCTTATGTTGAGATACACATAACGCAAGAGACACCCTCATCTAATACCAACGAACGCACTGAGAACGTTGGCCGAAATCAACAGTAAAGACTAATTACTCCATTATCAGCACCTAGCAGCAGAAGCCGATTGAGTGGAAGAACCGCCAGGCTCGTGAGCATCCCACGGAATGAATCAGTACGGAGTTTTACGCTAGTTGCGTGCTGCGAGCCCTCTAGCAATGAATGAATTGTGACACGATTCGAAGTGGTACCGGTCACGAGCTCCTTCTGGTGGCGTGCGATACAGATTGTCGGATCAGCAATTCCCTTTAGATGACAACGGAGCTTGGCTTCATCAGCATTCCAGACTGATACTGTCTGATCGAGGCCGGATGTGGCAAATAAGCCTCCCGTTAGTGCCTGAAATAGGAAAACATGAAACGTTCCGCGTATTCATTCACAGAACGTTGTAATGTATCACATTCAAAGAACGTTGTAATGTATAGCACCGACCTCAATGAAATTTATTTTGTGCGCAAGTCACCAGTTAACGTGTACGCACAATAGAGAATTGTGAAATTGGAAGCAAAGATGTAGACGAAAGTTACTATCTATCGTTTTTTTTAAATTTTATGAACCGTTCGTGCCTTTATTTGCAGTATTTCACCCTCGTGCGCATTCCAGGTACCCATAACGATTCCAGAACGAAGGTCCAACACGCTAACCATACCCGATGAATGACCAATAGCGACCCATTGATTTTCAGGACCGGCCGTTATGCATCGGATGTTACCCGAGCCACCTGTAAATTCAGATCCATGGTCATTTTCCACAAGCCATATGTATATATATTCGTATGTATATATATAGTAATCAACTCAGCGCAGTCTGCTAAAGAAGCTAATCTATGCTGAGTTCGACTCATTAATGCATTACTAAATTTGTGTCAAACCATTTTAGAGGAAAAGCTAACTAGAATTAAACAAATACTCCAGACTCACTTCATTAGGTGTTGTTAAGTGCTAATTATTTCTTAGCTATAATACTCACCAACGGAAGTTTTGAAGTCGTGCTGGTACTCGCCGCAACGTGCGTCAAGAACTTTTATTAAGCCGTGGACTGTTGCGGCTAAGAAACAACTAGATGGAGCGCTAAGCACCGCAAAAGCAGTTACAGGTGCATGTCGCATTTGGTCGAGTGTCCGCACTGAAGAACCAAGGAATGGATCCCAGATGTGTACGGAACCGTCACAAGATCCTACGACCCTATGTGAGTCAAGGAAGTGTACGGCAAATACACTCTTCCTATGAAGCGTATACGTCCATTGTGCATTGCATCCAACAGCGTCACTTCCTGAGTTCCGAAGTGACCACAGTTTCACAGTTTTATCCTTGGATGCCGAAAGAAATGAGTTCTCATTATCCAGCGCTGTTATCTGTCGAATTCCAGCGGTATGACCAACGAAAGTTTGCAGCTTGATCTGTTTGAAGTCGAGCTTTGAGGTATTTTTGGGATCTTGACCCACCTCGTGCTCCCAATAACTAAGCCAATTTCCTTTGAGATGACGCTGGATATTGGCCATTTTTCTACGCAGCAAGTTCATGTCGTAACGACCCACGGAAAGAGGCCCCCCCACTCCCCCTCCTAGGTTCGGTGGTCCATGCGTCACATTGCGACTATCGTCTTCGTTATAGCTGGCCTCCATCTGAACGTCGATGCGATTTCCCATAATCGCCACATTCTTACCAAATTCACTTGATACGAAGCTCTCATCGTGACCTACACGTATATACACAATTTTTCAAATCAAGCGAGTTTGGTCAATATTAGTAACTGCGATAACAGCACATCATGAACCGTGGTGAGAAAAGTCCAAACGTTCACCAAGACAGACTTACAATGTGCAGAGTAACATACGTTTTCATAAAATTCAATTAGATTTGGTAACGGTGCGATAATACTAGCTTATTCCTATAGGAAAATACTCAGTAAATTAAGTTTTCGACTGACTGAGTTACGGAACTATACAGGTATATATTTAACGTTTTTCGCACTAGCAATGTTTACCATAGCTTGGATTCCTGCGATGTCCATCCCTACCAGGAGCTCCTGCGGGTCCACCGTGAGCACCGTCTTCTTCTCGAAGACATAATCGTCGCACCAGATCATTATGAGCTCCCAAAATAGTTTCTGCCATATAGATTCCCCCTATTTGCTTGCAAAATGGAATGTACGTAACTTGGGCCATTTCAGCGTCAAATACCAATCGTATTTCAGCCAACGCGCGCTGTCGAAGTTCGCTATCACCTGCAGATTTGGTTCACAAGCGATCCTTGGTGAAAATTAATTGGAAATTATAGCATGAACAAGAATTCGAGTTTGCGCTATTAAAACTTAGCATTTTTCGTAATTCTTATTTGACAAATGACATTATTAGATGACAGTGACGATTTGGGTCCTAGATATGAATTCAGCTCGAAGTTTACCTGATTGTGTGGTCTCTAGGGGTGGAGAGGCCTGGAAGGGCAGTGCACGGCTAACAAGGACAGAGGAAATTTTAACTGGCGTCCCAATACGATATTCTTGGCTCGGTGAGTCTTTTTTAATATCCAGATAGTCATCCATGCTCTGGGTCAGCCCAAAGCTCTGAGCGCCGGAAGCTTTATCAATGCTTTTCTCCAAAGGGGTAAGATGCTCTACAGCATCCAGTTGATTTTTATCGCAAAATGCCCGCTCGAAGGACACGAAGAAGCTAAAAACAGGGTGAAACTCTATGTTAGCAGATTCTGTAAGCAAACTCTATGCTTGTCAAAATTGCTGTAATCGTATAAATAGTTCACCTAAAATGCATTATCCAAGACATAGTTATGATACAATAAACCAGTAGTGAATCGTGAAATACTTGAGAGAAATGCATTAACAGGAACTATTTTTCTAAAATTCTACACTTTGTCAAATCGTATTCTGTTTATTGGTGACATACCGTCGCAGTACAGTAGACAGATGCTGTCGCGACATCTCAAAACCAATGCGCAATGAAATGAGGTGAAGGACATCGGCGATGCGGTACGTAATAAGTCGACGGGAGTGAGCTCCGTTTGGGAAGGAGTGATGAAGAGAAGAGACTAGCTGAATTGACGGGTAGATTATATTGCGAATGATGGTGGTCTAAGGAAAAGACAATTAAAAGCGACATATTTTATATGGATTTTGTCTAAATTAGATACAGCCTATAATTAAAAAGATGAATCTGAACACGTCTATAACTTCATTTACGATGTAATTTCGTACGAGTTCATTCTTGACTGTTCAGTTTTGCGTACGAGCTAGCTGGCTGATCTCATTAGACTCCAGTAGATGGAAACGTTATTTAAGACATGTAGTTTTATGAAAGTCATAAAAACTATGTGTGAGACTTTGTTGTAGGATTATAAACTGTCTGTATTTCCAGATATAGAATGGATAGTTTCTGATTATGTCTTCAGTAACAGGGGGTATTTAGACACAACTAAATTTAAGATAGTAGGTACATATATAGTACGTACATATTAGGATAATAGGGAGACCGCATTTCACGCCATATGTCCCACCTGTAAATGGTTCATCAGTGTAGCATCCGTCAGCAGAGGCAAAACATGCTTTAGCAACGTGATCCCGCCCAAAAGCGATCCCTCGAGAGTTTCAGTGACGTGTTTCCGGCAAAGTTCAACAAGATCAGCCACGTGCTGCATATACTGCAGCGTAATGAAATGCTCGCCATACAGGAACGCGATGTCGCACAGAGTTGAAAATGCTTTCATCGCAGCCACATCGCCTAGAATATATGTCTGCGACAGATTCACCACTGTCAATAGTGAACACAGAAACAAAAAGGATATTAGATGGTACAAATAATTCGTATTTACTACACTTGCCTGCTACACCACGTTGCCTAAAATAAGCTGGCTCTAATTTGGAAATTTGCCATTTATATAGGTTATGCACACATGTAAGTTACTTCAAACTACGTTATACTATTTATAATTATGTTTGTTATTGTGATATATATATATATATATATATAAGATATAACGACATCTGTAGCCCATTAAGGCGAGCCAGAAAAAGCACATTGGTAAGGATTAAGTGTTCCAACTTCAAATCCGGTGCTGCAGTGAAGCATTGCTTCAGACCTCAAAAGATGAACGGACCTCTACGAATGAGACATTTGTTTAATGGTGATGGGAACTATATATATCATTACCGTAGTCGCTATGATCTTTGTACAGAGGCTCGGTAAACTCCATTTGATCGCTTCCTGAGTAGCAGAGAGTTAGCATTCGCAGAAGGTTTCGTGTTAGATGTCTGGCCGTAAGGACCGGTCCGAGGCGGTGGGCTAGCCAAACGATACTCTCTGATGCTACATCGCTGATATTATATGATGAGCAGTTGATATCTACAGTGAAATTAAAAACAAATAAACAACAGCTAAGCTTAGTTCTATTGCAGCGTGCATAACATAACTAAAAGGTATCTTTTCAAACTTCCTAAATCTTCGTAGCTTCATATCTAAGCATATTTCAATCAAGGTAGAAAAAATTTTCACTAGCGTTCGTACGTACCTTTCAATGGAATCGTCCTTTTAAAGCTAGTTGATGAGACCGGTTGTGCCGAAACGGATACAGCGGAATTTTGACAAGGCGTCGCGTCGGTTCCGTTAGTCATAGTTTCCAATGAAAATGCTGCCGAAGCCGAACCAGATGGGGGCAGATCATCAGTGAAGTTGGCTTCAATAATTGTTGAAGGTTTTTCCCGTGGTAGTGACGAGGTATTCTCTGCAATGGTATTGTTTACAGCCATTATTTCTAATTAAATTAAACAATCATATTTATTTTTGGTAATATTCGTCTTGACAGAGTGCAGAGCGGCTTTTTACTAAGACAACACTTCTATGTCACCATTACTTTAATATCTTATCCCCGTGATATCGTAGTGCGTAACGTGTTCACCTGCTCAACTTAGGAATATGTGATGGTTTAAGGTCGAATCTAAATAAGTTATGTACTGAGAGCCAGGCGTGTGAAGTAATTCTTAACGACTTAAACACCGGACTTAAAACACGAAAGACATTATGATAATCTCTAAAGCGGTACAAGTAGAACTAAACATTTCGTCACACAGTAATCTAAAAAAGAGTGAACGCTATTATTCACTTGAGTAAATCCCTAAGACTAATCGATCATGAAAACAATTATCTCATAATCTAACAATAATATTCTGTTAAATCACTTACCTTGTTGATTATCAGTTAAGTCTGAGTCCTCAGCTTCAAACATGAAGATTTCTTCAGCTCGTAAATCGGTGCCTTCAGTGAGATCTTCATGCTCTTCTGATCCGCCCTGTTCGTTTCGACAATCCGTAGAAGAACCAATGCCCTTAGCGACCCCAGCCTCAGGCACAACTATGGATTTAGCCTGCTTGTCCTTATCGGGATGCGAACGAACAGACGCCAAAGTAGACTCAAGTTCTTCCAGCTCCGTTGAGTCAAGATGTGATTGTTTCTTGGTCAATTTACACCTGACCGATTGTAAATCCAGAGTGATACAGTATGTGGGCTATGCTCGCAGAATCTGAATGAATGGACCCTGCCGCATTGATAAATAGACTATTATCTCGTTTGACGTTTCATTCACTCCATATAACGACTAGCGTGTCACGTAAAAACGTGCTCCACTTATATTAATTTTAATTTGTCAGCAGAACCTGCCTGCTGACTCTAGATTGGCGAATCAGATCATATTTCCCACTTTCTCATATTTCACAAACATAAGTCTTTAGAAAGCTCAAATAAAAAGGCCCCACCGCGAACGACGTAGCAAACCCATTGATGCAATGAGTCGGAGCATACTCAAGAGAAGTCTATTGATTTGCTTAACACATTACAGTATTTTTAATGAGGTTCGTCAGTAATTGTGTGCCAATTCCGCAAGTGCTAATCTGTTATTATTATTATTATTACATTCGAATCTGGTAAAAATCTGAATCGCATTTGATATGGAAGCCAGAATATCATCATAGATACCAATTACGGTGTACAAAATTTTTTTTTGTTATTCTTTAAAGAATCGAACTTTAAAAACGTCAAAGTTCGGAAAATGACGAACTTCGTTTTACTGCATACGGTATCATGCGTATAATTAATCACTGTACACATATTTTTCCAATTATAGTAATAATCAAGTACGTATAAAATCTTGACTAAATTAATAGAGCGCATTTTTTTTCTAACCTCTTGAAGTAGTGTGTTTCGAAAATGAGACAGCTGGTCTGAACGACTTAGAACAATTTTTAGTTAAACGAGATAAACACAATAGGTGTTTAGATTTAGCAAAATGAGGAAAACTACAGTGACTAATATGGCCTAATATTTTCATTTAAACTAGCCTTACTGCAATCACTAATTTCATTCAATAATGCACCGACTTCAGTTTAAGTGCAACCGCATGACCTCACAAACATAACACGCATACAATCCTTCACCAAATATCCATCGATTTTCACAACCTGTTTCATTCCGGTTTGTTGAAAGACAGACATATGTTTAAGCACAAGCAATAGGCGCAAGGGCTGAAAACCTTTTCTACTAACATATTATTACCGAATCAGTGTTGTAAAGTGAATAAGAATGTCAAATCGTTATGTAATATGGTAATTTATGAGCTATCTGGCTTCTAGAAACCCTAAACAACAGGAAAAGCTAAAAGCCAAAGGACAGACTCTTTAGATATCTTCCATTAGTAATGCTGTTTTGTTAAGCTAGAGAAGTCGACCCATCAATTGATTTGCCCGAAATGACGGCCATCCCGGCTAACTTTATGTCTTGGCCCGCTTAGTTATCCCTTCACCTTACCTACCTATGGGCTGTTGTGCCGGCAGCGTGCGTTGCGTGCGAGAGGTTAAGATTGCTGTTGACATTGGCCAGAAGAGCAGATCGGGCCCCGCCAGAAGCATGCTGGTGGTAATTGCCCGCTCCACGTTCGCCCATAAGCCCATTTAAGGTCGAGTTGGAATTTGAGTCAAGCTCTTCAAAGTCCCTATACCCGCCAACTGCCTCGACGAGGACGGTCGCGAAGTGCTGCAGAAACGCCTGCAGGCCCAGCCGCACCATCAACTGTAGTATGAATGAACGGTGGTATAGCTTGATGTGCTTCGCGGTTGCCACCTATAACGATCACCAACATCCATCAAGTGCGACAAAATTGAATGCCAATTTGTCAGTTGTTTGTTTGAACAAGCTTGGAAATGCAATAAATTGCACAATAAATTGCATATTTAGAAACCAAGTTAGGTGCTTTATTTTTTAAAATCGTACCTCTGGGTCAAAAGCTCGGATCAGGTCTTTGAGGAAGGCATCGACGGCCTCTTTGGGGCCGAGAGCGCGTGCGAGGGGCTCGAAGAGCTGCCATATGGCTAACACGCACGAGTCCGCCTGACGGAAAAGCGTTGATAGGTGCAACAGGACAAGCTCCACCGACTCACGGTTAAGTTCAGCCAGTAGTCGCGGTAGATGGCTGGAAATACGTGAAATCTTACAAGAAAAGAAAGACAAAAAAAAGATAGATGAAAACTAAACTGGTATTTCTAAGTTCTCTTATAGTGGCATAATTACCGTATTATAGAACTTTAAACACGATCATGGAACTAGAGGTATAAATCTATAACGAAAAGCTTACAAACATATGATATGATGTTCATTTTGTTTAATCAGAAAACCTAATAACAGCGAAACGCATGTAGAACACAGGCACTATACTTGGACTAGACCCATTAATAAACTAAGTAGCACAAGCAAGCAAGGATTCGAGTTGAAGAGCAAACAAAAGATAGCACAATCATTGTTATTGCAAGTTATGCCGTCAAAATGAATTATTTTTCTATAGCAGAAAACATGTCTCCGCTATGTTTTTTCTTCGCTCTAAAGTACATGGATAATTAAAACTTATAATTCAGACTTGTATATTTTGCTTAATCTTATAACCCATAATACTTTCTTCTCGAATCGCTTGACGAACTTACTGCGGGCACTAAGGCGGACAACTCCCTTACTTTGTATTTCGGACAGTTAACTCACATGATTTTGTTCGGCACGATGGAAAACAAGTCCATTAGAAAGTGATTGCGCTTGTGTCGTAGCAAGGAAATAGTAGAGGCGGGCGAATGCCGGTGGAAAGCGAGCAGGCGAAGAATGGGGACATAGGAGGAAAGAAGGACGAGGTGGCGGCAGTCCGTCCATTCCGACCGGAGGAAAAATGCCACCAGGAGGCAGCAGAGATCGAACAAGGCCTCGAAGATACCTGCATTGTCGTATAAAAAAGAAATTTCAGAAAAGCAATTATTTGCGGGAACTTGGCAAGAAACTGCAGAGAATATCAAGTCAAGTTGTAGTTAACTGAGTAGCTTTCTCGCAAAACAAGTGCTAAGCATTAAGCCAAAATAGTAAGATTGCCATTAGACTGCTTACCTGGGCGGATGGGCCGTTAACACAGCCTTCCGTAGGAAAATTGCTCTCTCCAGCAAGGGTAATTTAGTTGATTGAGCATGAAATACAGGGGTAAGGCTCAGCTCAGCCAATAAACAACCCAGAAGAAGGGTGTCATCACGTTGGCGATTACGGTCGTTCTCTGTTAATTTCCTACAGACACAAAAAAACTTGGTGGTATGGTCGGAACTGGAAATCGCCCCTGCGTCGGATGGACTAGGAGAACTAACAGGAAAATGACTCGAAATATACGCAAATTCCATATGTAACCAACTTAACTTTTAGGAATTCTAACTTTCCGATGATTTTATTCGTCTCACTCATAATTCATTCGTCTCACGAATAACACACTCTTCCATCATAAACCATGTTTTCTATCATCCTAGCTAAATAGAACTTGGGTTACTGAAAAAAGTTCACATTGTATGCATCAAAAATGATCCGCTGTCTAGTTACTCCTAAGAACGTAGGCTGCCTATATTGACCTCTCATAAAAAAATTAAAACGGTGTTTTTTAAAAATGAATCAAACAGTTTTCTTGCTAATGTGTTCTGTCTCGAGTTAAAAGAGTCCGTTTGCATTAAAAACTGGGACTACACTAATAACTGTCTTGACGGCTAAGCGGCTATGTATAGATAACAAGCGCAAAAAATATGATGGAAATTAGTTGGTCAAAGTTTATATTAGTTAACTACTGACGCGATTAGCCGTTATAGAAATATTGCGTAATAGGTGTACTTACTTCAATATTTTTCCAGGTAACAAGTCCTGGTCCTTTCGGCTTGGTGACGGTAAGTCATCATTGACGGTAAGCAACTGTTTCTGTCGAAAAAGAAACTGTGCTTCAATATGGCCAAGCTTCAAAAAAGGCTGAAAATCTCTCGGTAGGTGAATGGAGAGGCTTTCGGGTCGAGTGGTAGTTGGCTCACGCGAGACGGATCTGGACATTCTGAACATAGCGGAAATGAGTTACGAAAAATAAGCATTATGTTGTTAAGTTATGTGCATTGGCGATAGGGAACTTCAGCACCTCTTTGTATGATCTTTCTCTTTCCTCAAATTTATTGAAATTCTACGGAACAATAAAATTTTATCGATACCGTCATCACCGTCATTTGTTGTACTTTTGTGCTAGAAAACCTTTTTGTACCTTGAATACCCTCTCACTTTCAACAACATAATATGTAGCAAGTAAAACGCGGTGAAAGTAAACATGCACAACGCTGGCGAGCGAAGTCATAAAAGAAAGAAGCGCCGTAACACTGACTAGTATTGTAAAGACCGCATCAACTTCTATACATTACCTGCCGACAAGTGTTAACAGGTCTTCGTTTTGTTTCTGTGGGCCACCCACGCATTCTCCAACAGAAATAGTGGTGGACGTTAATGTCGTAACTATGTCATACCGAGTAGTTAGGTGATATTGGTTATTGATCTAAAAGGAAACTGAATCCCGGCCTGCTATCTTGTCATTAAACAAATTAAGAATGCACTGGAGTATTGGCTAAATCGAATTTCTGCTCAAAATCCTCTTCCCGTCTCACAAATTAAAGACACTTGATTAAATCTTCTGTTGAAATATGAACTGTCAAGAAGCACTTAAAAAGTGCTGACTTTTAAAATAGTAGAGTTACCTTAAAGTTGGATATTCCCATATAGAAATTCAGTGCAGTAGAGCAAAACTTGTGATCGATACCATAAAATTCTAATTTTATGGACAACATTTTGTCGATGATCATTGTGGCTCTTAATATTTTTGTCGTGCTCTTCAAAAGACGTTTAAAAAAGGTATTAGTTGATCGTAGTATCATCTTGATGTACGTAAATCAATCGAGGCACTCAATACGACGAAATGAAAAAGAGGCCACGCCGCTCCGTGTATATTTTTACGAAACACACTGCTTCGATCTTACACCGTATTTTTTAATAAGAAAATTGGGTATGTTCAAAGGTAAAAAAGTTAGAATAAATGCCTTGGTACTTGTTAGATATGCCATAAGCGGTCTCTACGTAGTGGAAACTCTGGTCTTTGAGTCGCAGAATCAGTAACTTATGACAAAAGTAGATAGCTCTACTTATTCTTGCATTGATCGAAACATATACCACAATACAAAATTAGCGAAATCTTGGAGTTCCAATGGTCTTTACCTAAATAATCGCCGGTTGGCTCCACCTTGCTGCGCTATTTGACTTTCACTCTGCAGCTGCTGATCGAAGAGTGCCGAAGCAGACGTTCCAACACTCGAGGTTAAAATGACCTGATCTTCTTGAAATGACCTATTGGCCAAACGACTGTCTGGTAGACCTTCTGTCCTGCGGCCATGGACCGACCGGCCTCGCCGTTGGTGACGTAAGCCGGGATTGCGTAACACTGACGATGTTGACAACTATAAATCACATACGAAGAGCAATATAAAAACAGAACACCTAGCAGTCACACTCAGCTTCAAAGTAAATATCCAAAAGGTATATCTACATAGCACAATTTTTTGAAAACCGCGCAGGTCCTTACAGAATTAACTACACGTTTAGTAGTTAGTTGTGCTACCTTTAATAGCCCTTATGATTGGACGCGATGCTGGCGCAAATTTAATTCACGTGTACATATGTGAATCTGCGCACAATTCTGCTAAGCTATTTATTAGCTTCGAATACGTTTCCTACATAATTAGAAACACTTAAATCCAGGTGTTTTACCTTTGGTGGTCTGTTAGCACTTGCTCTTTTTCGCGGGGGGTGCGGCAATGTAAACAGTTGACTAACACCTCCAGCTAGAAGAAATGTATGATTATCCACTAATGGAAGGCTTACGTTCTTCGCCTTAATTGCAGCGGCTCCCGTTAACTGGAAAGCACATGATAAAACAACTACTATCAATACTAACCCTATATAATGGTGTCTACCGGAAATAAAAGTTTGAAGTTAATTTACGGTATCTTACATTTACATTTGTTCACTAAAGTAATTGAGGAATACGTGGCTTTTCACGTGAGTGTAAAACTTCCCAACAACACCATTCAGATAGTGCGCAGTATTGTTAGTAACGGAGCTATCCAATTGACTCATCATGTTTTGCCTGCTACATATTTCTTTTAATATTTATCTCCTGTATAATCAATTTAGGGGCTACTAACCTTATAACCAAATGTAATATCGATCCAATGATGTAAGTGTTCAGCCACGTATTGACTCTGTAGAATATTCATGTGCTTGACAGTGAAGTCTTCTGGGCTTTCCGCCCATGATGGAATCTCGAGATCTGGCAGATCCGAATGAACCGATCGAAATATAGATGGATCAGTAAAAAACTCTGGAATGCTTTCATTGGGCGACCACTCTTGCAGTCGTTGTATCGAAGCGGGATATTCGGCTGGCACCCATTTCTGACGGACATGGGTGCACAAGACCTCTCTGCTGAAGCGACGAGCCTGATCAGTATCGCATAGCAATCACATCATAATATGCGACCATGTACAGAGACCATAATTTTTAAATCAGTAGCGTTAGCGATACGTACTAATAAACTCATGGCTGGAAGTGTTGTACTGGTTTATAGTTCTCATTGTACGTAACAAGGGTGCAGCTATGGAATAGGATACTATTTGATTTAAGCTAGGTTATCAGAAAAACGTCAGTCGTTCTACGCAATATGTAAGCTGACATTTTACATTTATATAGGTTGGACAGTGGTAACCATCACACATACATCATTTAAAAGTTAAAACAACTAACTCATTAAAATTAGGGGTAGAGGATTCTAAAAAGATAAATATGCCTTCAAAAGCACAGCATAACAAAGCAAACAGAGTCTTATAGATATGTTATTACAAAAAGAAAAAAATTATTTGCTAAAGCTGTTGAAATACTCACCTTATAAACGTAATATGTTATATCCGAAAGAATTTCGGAAATGTGATGAGGTACCCGAAGAGCGCGGTCCACCTGTTGCATCGTCCCTCCTACCTCCATGCTTTGTTGCGCAAGGCTCAGAGCGCTTTCGTAAGTTACATCTAACTGCCGATCGCCTCTGGTAAGGCGAAACTTAGATTTGGACAGATCGCGAAAGTTGGCTCCTTCAGGGGACGAGAAGTCCGTCACCCACGGAAGTACAGGATGATAGTAGGGATTATTTGCGCAACGCCCGCTTAACTAATCATAAAGCGCAGATGCATTTGATTCGACTATATAATACGTAAAAATTACTTATATTAAGATTAGGTTTAAGATACGACGATCGCTTTTTCAGTTAATTTTTAAAACTCTAACTTATATAAGGATGTCAGATACAAAGAACGCTTCATTTGCCCAATTATTGACACGATGGTGGACCAAAAAGACGTATCGAACCTTGTTTAACAGCATAAGGTACTCAAAGTTTCCTAGTTTTCCTTCTAGCCATGCGTCCATTGCCTCCTTCAATGGCAACTCCGTCCCTGTGCTTGGTTCTACAAGAAAACGAAAGCAAGTAGAACGAAACTCTTCATATTCCGCTGCTGTTATGGCGTTCTTCAGAATTCCCCTGTTCCATCTCGGGCAGAGCTGGGAACCGAAAAAATATTGTTAAATGCTTGCAGGAAAAATATCAAACTAATGCCAAAAGCCAACGAAGATGTATAAATAAACAAGAGTAACCTTCGAAGAATTTATTCGAAGATACACACTAATATCCAAAGGCTATCGGTGATGCGAAAATCTTCAAGTGTCAGCTCCCCAATATCGAGTCCAGCCTCAGCGGCGAACGCTAAAAGCTCCGCCAATTGATAAGCGATGAAGAGACCACGCGCAGGTGATCGATACATTACAGCTGGAGAGAAACACGGTAGATGAACGAGTGAATGCGGTAAGTACGGAGACAACAATACAAATGCAGCCGAAGTCTCTATCACAACCCAGAGAGGATGAATACCCGCATGGGCCGTTAGCGGCTCTGAAATGATGAACGACAAATTAAGTTGAGTAAAAACGAATAGAACCCTTATCTAGCCATGTAAGTCACCATATACGTCTTGGCCAATAGCGATATAAAGCATATAATATACCTACCGTTGTCTTTCGGCACCTTCAACGAAAGTTTCGGGCTATCACAGTCCGTTATCACTCTACAGTTGTATAGTTTGTCCAGAACAGCGGCCAGCCGATCAGTGAAACTCTAGAATAAATGCACCAGGATTTAGAAATTAATCCGATGGGCTTGCTAGTATCAAAAAGTAGGATAGCTATTAAATCCAGAACATCTCAGATGAATTTCCTGGTTTACCTTGCAGATTCCAACGATAAGCTTTTGTTACTGATACAAACTAACGAACACTTGAATTCTGATTGTCAAATCCTTATTACTATCCAGGTCGGAATTATTTTGTTACCTATGACCGAAGAATATGGTTATTAGTGCGCATTTTTATTAATGCCAAAGCTTTCAGCTCTAGCCAAAGCTAATAAATAAATGAAACGATTCAAAACTTTACATTGTAGTCACCCTGGCGAATGTAGTGTTTAATAATATTTAATATATGGGAACTATTACTTAAAAGTAAAATTTAAACGACAAATAAATTGCGTACCTCAAAATCCTCCAACCGTATTGAAGTTTCTCCACTAGTATCTCCATTGGCCTCCGTCCATAAATTTGCGAAATTTGTCTCGTTAATGCTTTGGAGCACCTCAAAAATACTTTTGTATGTGGCACACTTTTTCGGTATCGGAATCGGCTTCTTGCGAACGTACAGATCTTCGTGCTTGTCTAATATATCCACCTGGCATTCATATATGTTTAGTAAACATGAAAAACATTTTACATATGATGTAAATATGAGGTAAGCCACCTTAGATAAGATTGTTGTTAAACCTTTCTTTTGTGCGCATATGTGTTCTTCGGGACACATATATACATAAATCGAAACCTAATTAGATTAAGAAAAAAATACATAAGGTTCTTTCAGAAAACCAAACTTGTAGCCATTTGTTCGTGGTTACCAAGTTCGTGGTTACCATAGACTCACATTAGCTAGTTAGACCATGAAATACATTTAATCAACCATAAACAAATACGTTTCGCTGAGCAAACCCATAGTTAACAAAACATTCGTTTACGTTTAATGATATAGAACACCACCCTTTCGTTCGCTTTATTTAATATAATAATTCAATAATTAACATACTTAGGGAACTATTATGTAAACAACTTTAGAAATCGATGACATACTTTTTCGCAAGTCCATTTGTTCATACTCACTTGCACAAAGGTGAATCCAAGTGGTAAGTGTCGCTTCTCCTGAAACATTATAGCGCCTATTTCGACTTCCGGAAGATTCAACGAGGGACACTGGGGCGGAAGATGTCCCGTGGAAACCACGGCCGTTAGCCATTCATCACTCACCTGATTATATAGAGTTAATAAAAATAACTTGTCAAGGCTGTTAAAAAACATCCTCGAGACCTTATGCTCATATATTTTTCACCACATTATCAGATTTTTTTGTAGCGGTGATTGTTAGTAGTATTTGTGGGCACCGTATAGCTTGACCTTAGCCCAATCTTCAAAATGAATGCATAACATTTGAGTAATAGATAATTCTCGTAATAGATAGTAATAGATAATTTTTTATGAAAGTGTCTTTAACACATAAATAATCAAGAATAGATGAATAATATGACATTATACAAGTTTTTAATGAGTAAATAAATAATCAGCTAAGGGTAGTTATTGAATACTGTGATTGTCATGCTTAGAAGTAAACTCCGATTACAATATTTTCTCTTTTTTCGAAATAACATAGGCACATTCCGACGTACACTAATTTCAACAAAAACATTTCATTCTTGATAAACTCACAATAATTCTGAATTGATTCTCACTGAGTTGGAGTATGTGACTGCGCTCAACTCCGAAAACCCTCTGCAGTTCCGCCGCGCCCGACATCGCCTGAAAGCGTTTGTAAACACGAGTTAGTTTTTTGTAACGAGCAACCGGTTTAAGTGAGGATAGAAATACACAAACTGCATTGAACGCGTCTTCCCAACTAAAAACATTGGAGATATTAATTCGTTTTGACCAATAGAAGCTTAAAGCATTTCTCACAAAAAACATCATGCAACGTACATGGGCCATTTTCTTCTGCACCTATGTAAAGTGAGTTCTCTACATAGCTAAAAACCACTATCATATAATGGAGTTGTTGGGGTCTATCTCGAAGATGCGGGATCGAAAAGCTTGTTCTCGTGAAATACTTTACCTTTACCGCACGTTTTGATCATTTATGACGATCTTCGTTTCATTTGTGCTTGAAAACACTGTTATATAGAGTGCGAAGCTCGTCACTCCACATTGCCGGCATAAACGTTTCACGTCGATTCTTATTACGTTAGAGAAACTACTGTCAAGTTAAATTTGCCGAAATTTTTACTTCGAACTAGATTGAATCACAACCTGTCAACGGGTTTCCTCAATCCGGCATAAGACACAGTGTCGTGAACCAGTTAAGTGCCACTCACCTTCGCAAGTGAATGATTCTAGCCAACACTGCCTACACTAGACGCTTGGCAAACGGATGTAAATGCTTCGGAATGATTTGTGCACAAGCACCCTTGAAATTGACAGTGTTCCGTGGTGTACGAGAGCAGCTGGTGTAATGCGACCAGCTGTCATAGAAGTGCTACGTATATGTTAAGTCAATGATGTGGGATTACTAGGTGCATTGTCAGGTAGAGTATTCATGTGCCGAATACGACACTCACCTTCACGGTACCTACACTCCCGAACATTAATCAAAACCCGTTATTTTTGTTTCTCTTCAGGCAGCTCCGGTGTGGGACATGATTATATATGTTGTTATTATTTACACGGAAAAAGCCCGCATTCTTCGAGAGAGCTCACTCCGTCAATATATGTCTAGCGGTTCATACGATACGGCATACGATCTGCCCCTCGGCAACAGATGCTGCAGCCCTGTTCTGTAGTACCACCATTATCATTTGTTATTGTTATTATAATTCCTGTTATTCTAAATCTATATTAGTGTCGTCTGCACAAATCCTTCTCTCAGCTCTCGAGCTCAAACGATTATCACGTAGCTGTGTGCGTTGATATATACGGCTGACCTGGAACTCAACAAAGCATCGTACCCTGTGGATGAGCCGGAACTTGTGGACACCTCTCAGAATAATGCATAAGCTATCCTCGCAAACACGCGTATGGCAATGTCTGTTCAAAATTTCAAATAGATGAACGGCCAATTTTGTCTGCTTCAAGTAACAACATAACCGCATTATCTGTATTATCAGATACGTTTTTTCTATACTACTTAGCTATGGTTTTCTTTTGCCTGTTTTTGAAATTTCGAATCTCATCTAGTTAAATGCACTCTCGAACGCGCACTGGAGCTGCCGTGGCTGTAGGTGTGGGCCAAGTAAGATTTGTGTGAGTAGTGGGTGAATTCAGCTGGCGTAAACATAAACTCTAGCTCGGTTCAACAGGCAACGTTTGCGTTTGTAGCAGCTTAACGCTAGAAGTTGTCGAGATGCAAGCATCGTTCCGAACCGAATCGAGTTCGAAATAGACAAAACCGCTTTACTGACAACAAACACACATGAGCACTTACTAATCGCTATAGGTGAAAAAAATTTTTGAATTGTATCATCTTTATTTAAAAAAAGTGAGATCCTTGACGGGCTTTTGTTGAAGTAACGACCCTTAAGCGTTTCCGAGCTTTTTCGTGACCAACTGGCTATTTATTAGTCTATATATATACTGTATATTTAAAACTGCAACTGATTCGTGTTAAAAGTCAGGTTCTTTCTATTTCTCCCTCGTCTTAGATATGCCCAGTACTACAAGGAGTGGTCTAAATAACGTTTTGAAACACGTACTGAGAACTTACCAGGCACTGTAATCATTCATTAGTAACGCTTTATGTAAGGATCTCATTATTTAATATCGGATTTTTAATACGGTGTAGAACTACAATTGCGCACGTATTTGAACAGAACATTGTCGCGTAACAAGTTGTCTGGTAGTCTCGCACTCCTCCCTTTCCTTCCGATCTCGCCTACCCTTTGTGAACGTGTGAAAAGATTATCCAGTACTTTACTCTAATGCGGAAAATTCGCCAGAGAGCGGTAAATCATCGAGTCTTGTGAACGGCGCCAGTTAACTATGGACACTTATCTATAGATTCGTACTGTATGTGTTATCCTAGTGTCGTGTAGCAAAGACTACACTAGAAATTGTGCATCGCTGATGACAGGTCGGCCCTGTCTGTAAAAGATAATATGTGCTGTGCTTTTATCTTTAGATGGGGTAATTCCAGAAGCCATTAAAACAAATTGTCACCAACTAATCCGCTGCAGTTGCTTCGTCGCCCCTCTTACGGCAAGAAAGCAATCCCGCAGTTGCCGAGCGAGTTATTTGAGCGACAGTAGCGTTTGTGAGCAAGAAGGTAAAATATTTTAGGGAGTTTATGTGGCAACCTAAATCAGACAAATTAGGTTTGGCAACTTAACTGGCTGGAGTAGCTACCACATAGTGCTTTGAAACACCGAGCTACAAGGAGGTGGCAATTTCTGCGAAATCTGGCGTTGCTCTGCGTGATATATGGATGTCTTGGTCTACCGCTTTTTGTTCTCGGCTGTTTCCAATAGGCGAGAAGCTGTTTGAAAAATATGCCTAAGTGATGCTTGGTCAGCCATACGGTTTAGATATCTAGATAGCGGTGCGTTATAGGCGACGACAGATCGATTCTCACAGAGTGTGCACTTTGAACGCGGCGAAAGGCATTTGACCGAAGGAAGATCACTATATATGTGCCGTTGAACGAAGTGCACGCGCACGTATATAGTTGTCACGGTGGTATAGTTACTATCAACAGTGTGAGGTCCTTTGTTACCACAACGACGTTAAGAAGTACAGTTTTTCCAGTGGAGTTATTCTATTAGTTTATAACGAAAAAAAAAGAAGCATCACAACGCGCCGAGTCAGGAAGTCTGAATACGAATTCAGTGTCGTGGGAATATAAAATTCAGTCCTGACTGCACGCTGCAGGTGAGTACAAATGTTTAACGAAAAAAAGAGCACTGTAATCTATCATGGCTAGTCGACAGGTGTAATATAAAAGAACAGAGCCTGATAAAGCTATCGATGTATCTCGGAACCGTACATTACAATGTTTTGACCGTTTGTTGAAGACGCTCAAAGCAATCGTACTAATCTCACCAAATGCCTGTACACAGAAATATTCTAACAGAATAAGTTTATAAGAATAATCCTTTCCTTGAACTAAATCGCTACCCTGTGGTGCTTTTATTAATAACAACATGAGTGAGCTCGGCATGTAGCGCCGTGTTGATGTTGCATGTCAGACTTCATTTGAGCTGATCTTCGAAATAAGCAAAAACATTCACATAACCAAAAGTCCATACGGGGTCCATTGGATTCTCTATTTTTTGCCAAGATGATGTCGAAATCATAGTAACCCCTCATATTTAGAATTCCAGCATTTTCTTTTAATTTCTTATTGTAAAATGTTTGCACCAGTCTTTCTTACCGTACAGCTCTTTTCACTTAACATTTTCACCAGCATATATGGAATCTATTTGGGAAACATAATCTCTAAGCAATTAATTCTAAATGGCACGTTTCTCTCCGTACTTATTACGCATCAATGATGCTCAAGCAGTCTATAATTATGCTAATGATACACGATTTGAGTTATTTCATATGTTCGGTCTATAAGATCACTCTATATATATATATATATATATTAGTTACTGAGAAAGTACTTTTACACTGACATAGAAATACAAATGAAAGTCATTTAGAAAATGATACATCACAGGCCTGTTCTCTATATTTGTAATTTTTAGCTAAATAATGTTGGTAAATAAGAGGTAATACTTGGAAAATGTTTAGAAGCCAGTTCAACAAATTTGCTAAAAACAGACTTAAACAATGTTAAGTTAGCTAACAATGTTAGTTAAGGCGACACTCATATCAGTACTGGTAATTACTAGTGCTAATCATTTTCTGCTCTTTTCACTGTTAGATCCCTTCTCCACATGCACCTCATAGCATTTTCAGGACTTTTTCTAGTGTTTACGAATAGAATGCTGCGACCTGTTTCATTTGAACGTCAAATTTTTTTTGTTAGCGTTGACGCAGCTTTACGGTGCATAGCGTTGTTCTACACCGTTTTTCAGTGCAGATTAAGTAAGGCAACCATGTAATGCACAGCGTTTCTTTTTTTAACACAAGAACAAAGGTTAGTCCCAAGGTGTAGGGCCTGACAGATACTAAGAGATAATATTCGTTGTTTAATATAGACCAAAAAACGAGCTGCGATACTTGGGAGCGATTGATGTATACTCTATATTTTCATACCAGTATATCGAAAATGAATAATTATACCGCATACCACCATACAGTAGTATAATTTGTTTTACGGTTTATAGCCGTATAAAAGTGCTTTGAATTCGACTTGTATTATCCAAAAAACCGTTGGTGTAACGAATTTATGCGAAGTAAAAAATAATACCATGACTGATACGTATACATTTAGCAGTAAATAGGACTTCTAGTAAACGATTAATATCCACATGTGGGTTAAGTATAAGAGTTTGTCATTGATCGTTATAGTCTGTCAGCCTATGTGCTCTGTTTTGTGCTGAATGCCTGCTTTGACGGCGGCAGCCCCACTTCCAGGACTGCTTCCTGACAAGTTTACTGGAAAGATTCGGTGAAGCCAGGGGAAACAAATTCGGAGAGTGCATTTTGATCATGTTTCGAGGTACACAGATATATATATTGCTATTTGTGTAATAACAGTGTTATTTACATTGCCATTCACGTTCGCCGTTAGCGTTGATGCAGCTTTACGGTGCATAGCGTTGTTCTACACCGTCTGCGTCAGCAGCTTCACTTGCGGTGCGTATGCTAGTAGCAAAGACTATTACCAGCCAAAGTTAAATTTGCATGGAAACACGCACATCGAAAACGTGGCTACCCTCCCCTATAACAGTTGTTTTTCTTTAGTTATGTTAGCTCAAGATCGGTCCGCTTCCTTCCGTAGCTAATGCCACGTGATGATCTTCATAAATTTTTTTTTGAAAATGCGAAATTTGCCGTTGATCTCGATAAAATATGAAATTTGAATTCCATCTGCGCTCTATGTTGATGCTCCGTTTAGTGGTAAAAAATACACATTTTGCAAATGTGTTGCACAGAGGATGTAATAATATATAAATACTCCTATAAACATAATAATGACCTCTTCAATATTTATTTTTATTATCTAGTTATCTAATATTTAACCAATTTATATATAATAACATAATGTAAAATTTCGCGCTAAAGCGCAGTTTTACACAATCATTTTATAGAACTTCATGTTCTGAACAGTAACATTATTTAAATAGAAATGCATTCGAAACAAAACTCGTGACCGTTCCATTTAAAGCTAGAACGACGAAGCTAGAAGTCGTAAAGATAGCGTATTACTTCGCTGGGATTTTTTTGTTGATAAAGCACAACTCTGCTTAATACTCGCGCTGTATTTCACATCCTCTGTTGCGATCATAGTAACAAATGTGTGTGGTAAGAAATTGGTGGTTCATATTTGTTAAGTAATAAGCCATGACAATTACCGTGTTTTACCTGATTAAGGGGATGGTCATAGAATCTGTATATGCTAAAGGAAACGGTAGGACAGCAACCTTATGGTGTTAAGGAAGATTGGAACAACATCCGGTCAGGAGCGGGGCGCCCATACTTCTCCCGCGTAAGTTATATTCTATGTCATGATTCTATATTTGATATATATATATATATATACTTGATCATGTAAATTCTATATTTATATGAAGCTAATGCATGTTACGAAACGCATGATGTCATACTGACAGCAACGTATTTTTCAAAATGGGGTCAGCACTGAATGCCTTTTTGCTCTAGCAGCAAGATTTCATTGGATAAAATCGGAAGCATGTCACGTATGGTGTCTTCGAAACGGGCTGCTAAACAATTGTCTACAGTGTGGTGGGTTTTATTCGTTCGATATGAGTAGATTTTTTTTCAATCAAACATCGGTTCCAACAATGAAACGGTACCAACTGACTCAACGCAGTTGTCGGTCACAGGGTGCTATGTTTTAGCGAAATTTTTTTCTTCGAAAAAATGCGATCTCAAGTCGGCGAAAAACCACTAACGAATTGCCGAGTGAAAGAGAATTATCAGGCTGATATCACAGGTCCTGCTCCTGTTATACTAGTAAGTAGAGACTAAAAGAGGCGCCTTGACCCTAATTAGGTAGTACATTTTGTTGTTCTAGTCTTGAGCGTTAACTTGACTGCTGATTACCAGCTTGTGAGCTGTTTAGGGGTAAGCAGACGGATACACAGAACTACAGCTAAGACTTTTGACCCTTAAAGGGTTAAGACTCGAAAATGATAATGATCTGCAGAGTTGAACAAATATGGAATTGTTTCTCCTTCATTTATCATCAAAATTTCATTAGATTGAATTTGTTAGGTATCTGTGCATGATGCAGATATGAGATCTACGGGCATAGATGCCATCGTCATACGGTAGGTGTTGGTTTTACGCCGTTTATACCTGAAGACGATATCGCCTGGTGCTACGTATTTGTCTGCATGAACCACTTGGTTGACAAAACCTTTGATTAGAAAATGTTATGATTTAAATACTTCGATTGATATGAAACTTGTTGTCATGGATGGACGTATTCTTCTGCCTAACCGAATGCACAGAATAGTCCTACTGCCTTGTGGAAACTGCTGTATCTCGCGAGTTGTGTCGACGTAAAAATAGCTATAAAATTGTGGATTAGCCGCGATAAGCATGGAATTGCGGACGAATGATCTCTGTACACGAGTTGTCACATAAATTGCGTAGCGTTGGAAAATTTTAGCAGTGAACACATCCTAAGAAGAACATAGTTTCTTGCTATTCAGAGCTCTTTTAAACCTAATTTTTTTTGTTATTGAAAGTAGGTGAAAAAGTTACAAGAATAATACGTTTAGAATATTAGGAAATCGTTATACAAATGTTATATTATATCTTTATATATATATATATATATATATATATATATATATATATATTATATATTTTATTTTATATCGTTATATTTGAGTGTCGTTAGTCGTGTTCAGTGACTGGTTTGTTGAGTGATCGGGGTTCCTATTACAGAGTCACTCTTGTTCGATAAGATCATTTAATAACTCTGTTCTGTGTCACCTTCTGGCGAAATAGATCTCATTTTAGCCCTTTGCTCAAATCGTGCGTCATCGTTTGCTTTTCCTAACGTTCTATTGACGTATATATTGCTGTAGCGTTACCGCCTCACCGACATGATTTGATGCCACGCTATTGGTAACGATCTAGATAATGACGTCAGCCCAACTACGATGCAAGACGAATGAACGTAAAACTAACAAAAGCGTTTTTCGCTTCAGGGTAATGAGGAGTAATCAAGTTCTTAAGAGGAAGAAAGCAAACGATCGGTTTGTAAGTTGCTTCAGAACCAGCCACTGAGATAAATCACCTAATGACTAATCGACTGACTGATTCACTAGGTGATTAGTGATGATGACTAGTGGTTCAATGACCAAGTAAATCTAAGCGTTTACTTTGCACTCGTAGCAGTTTCGTGTGATGACCACAAGAGTCCCTATCATTGTCTGTGAGGATCCTCTTGATCCTATGCTCCATTCTACTAAGGAGCAAACGCTGGTGTGGTTATGATGCCACCAACTGTCGGCGGTGACACTGTCGATTGGCTTTACAGGATGATGACAGCAGCGGCTTTAGTAACGAGAAATTCTCATCGTTCATCTCGCTATGGCTGTCAAACGGAAATTCCGTTCATTCTATGCAATCGCTACGGCAGTCGTGGCATTGGGACGCTTAGATATTGTTGGTTGGCGTTGTATTAGGCTTTTTGTCAACGAGAGCATTAATATGATAACGCGAGCGATTTGACGTCATCAATTGATGCGCTGCAAAGCCACTGGTAATCGTTTGTTCATCCTGTTATTGCGCATGTCGATGCTGATCAATAATTTTCTAGTGCACCCCTTGTTGACAGGCAGGCCGAGGGGTGTATAGCGATTTGAAACAATGACCTAGCTTTCGTATGTATAGAAATGTTGACGCTACTATTGGTAAATCCACGTCTATCGCTGATTACTGCAGAAGACGTCACTGCTGCTGCCCACAGTATACCTAATATTGCACACGTAGATCACTGAAGTAGCAATTGAAAGGCTTGGACTGGGGTACAGATGAAACTAGGAAGGGGTCAATTAGTCCCCTAGTAGGTTACTAAATCAGCTGAACGTCTTTAGTACAGGCCAAATGATCTGATACCAATCGAACAGCGTCTGCTATAGTACAAGACTATGCAGTAGTTGTCGTAGTCTATTAATGAGCTGATAGGTAAAATTGAAGTACAGCTCTGTTTGAAAGCGGTATTATTTAATGTTATAAAATGAAACCTCACTGACGTCTAATATAGCTATACGTACTCATTCCGTGGTAAATTAGTGCAGTATTATTAGTTCCGTACAGAGACAACAGCAGATAGAATTCGGTCTGGATGCTTTTAGCAAACGTGTATCTGAATGAAATCAACTACTAGGTGGCATCATCTATGGTGGATTCCATGTTTCATAGAACCTATGCGAAAGATGTGGTCCGTGGTATGGATCGAGCAAATATATAATTTTCTTATATCTATGATCAAAAAGTTAGGTGATCAACTCTACAGTTAGTTGCTGTTCTGAGAGTAAGTAAGCATTAGCATATCTTGATTGGCGCGGCGAACGGCTATACTTGAATGTGTGTTGTACATTTCAACGAGTTTGTCCAAGCAATAATATGTCGCTGCTTTGGAATAGTTCGTTTGCTCAGCACCCGTTGCCGCTGTTGACTTTTTCATTTCCCGTCATTTCAGTTCCCGATTCGCTGATCGGTGTTCCTGTTATTCAATGCGGATTGATCTAACAAAATTGTTTAGCAAAACAGGCTGTAATATAATAAAATCATTCCCATTCTAAAAACGTACCGACATTTAGCTTGCGACAAAGCAGTTGTTAGCGACCTTAATTTTTCTGTTCATTCGGCTAGAGAATCGGTTAAGTTGCAATTTGAATAAATTTGCGAATATGATTGTGAAATATCTAAATCATACGTGTGATTATTACTGTTTTTATGGTACAGGAATATTTACTCCGTGCGAATATACATCTCTCTAATACCGATTGTACAAGACGAGATGTTATCTATAAATAAGAGAATCCTTTTTTGCACAAAACTATGTTAATGTTATATTTGCAAACAAGAATGCAGGTTTCCGAGATTATGTTGGAGCTATGAGTTTGGAAAACTTTTTCTACTTAAACGCTATAAAACTAATTTGATGCTTTTCAATTATTAATAAGATTGCCAACTATCCCTCGATGCACAATGTTTTTACTCAGCACGCAACTGCTAATAATGCAAAAAAGCTTTATAAACCTTCCAGCCACCTCTGAAAAACCGTATTTTGATATTTTAAACGTATTACCTAATCCGGTCGAATAGTTGTAGTGTAGTAGAGGATCATACATCACAGAACAAACTCAAATTCGTTCTGTGCTTTTGACATAACTTTCAACACAACCCAGTTTCCATGGTTTAACAACCAATAAGTTGGCCAAAAATATTTGTTGTTCCTGTTTTTGATCGAAAACAGATTAATTACTTTAATTTGATCGTAATAATGCAATTGGTGGATCTATGGCCGTAATGATTAGCGTTGTCAATATTTAAGTATTTCATTTACGAGCGCTTGCTAAGAAGACACTCGATTCTAGATTCTTTCTGTAAGCTTCAAAAGTTTATTAACTTTTGGAGCTTCCAGAAAGAATAGGCGGAAAGAAAAATCTATTTACACGTTTACTGCATTATTATGCCGTGCTGCTACCCAAGTAAATAGGTTACGATTTGTTGTTGTTGCAAATTGTTTTGATACAGTAATATATAAGGTTTAAAATAACAGCTTAATATAAGATACATCATCTCTATAATCTGGGGCGTAAAATGTATATAATTGGGGTAGTATATCGACAAACAAGTTTTTTGCATCTCTTTGAACTCGCCTATAAATCCTTGCCATTAACTCAATAAACATAAGCAATTACCATAAATCAATTTCCTCCTTACTTGTTCGAAACTCAGCCCAAAACTGAAGTGTAAATGAACTTAAATCCATCGTCTGCAAAAACAAAAGTCGAATTGGATGTTCTTCTGCTAATAATATTTTTAGCTTACTTATTCAGCGGTAAGCACAATCTATAAGATTTATCCGATTTATGTTTATCCGAAGGGAGCTTATTTTACCCGATTTGAAATATCAAAATACTTTATTAGATTTTAATGCTGTATGTAGGTAATCTGAAAGACCAGCATTATATTTCGCTTGTGACACTACAGTCCGTTCTCACTAAAAGACCAGCGACACAGCTGATACGAGCGTCAGAGAGTTCTGTTGCCTCGACTCTGTTCTATATTAACGCTGTCCTTCAACTATGTAAACAACTATTATAATTGAATTTCGTATTATCAATTAAACTATTATGTAGTTTATTTTCTAAAGAGTATAGATTAACTCACAATTAACTAAATTATAGTGGAATCCTTACTTCTCAACAGCGTTTGAAGTAATTCCCCGGCACGAAGCCGCGGCCAATCATTTTTCACACGTCCAATGTACCGCGT